GAGTCGGGGAGCGCGTGGGCCGTCTGTGCGGCTCCGGGCCGGAGGCTGCCCTGAGCTGCGCTTGTCCTTGTCCGCCTAGATGTTCCTGTTGAACGGAAAGGGGCTCGGTTCGCCGTCTGACTCCCGCCTGGGATAGATTCTCTCGTAGCCCACCGGCACGTCCACCAAGAGCTGGACTTGAATGTATTTAGAATCCGTGTGAAGGACTGGGAGGCTGCAGAGGCAGCCAGGACCTGTGGGGCTGGGTTCTAGAATTTCGGTGAGGCGAGGCCAACGTTCTGCTTTTAAGGGTGAAATATTGAGAGCTCTGCCCTGAGCTTAGGGACGTTATTCCCATCGATACTCGGTTTTGCACTTTGAGGCACCAGCCAGACAAGCAGACAAGAGAAAGAAAAATAACAAGGGCTGAAACAGTAAGAAACAAAGGTATCGTTATTGAGAGGGAACGAGGTTGTATAGGAAGAAAATCCAAGGTAAGTAAGAAACTGCTGGATTTAGTAAGCAATCTAACAAGATCAGCGGCCCTGGATCAATATCTAAAAGTTATTCATATTTAGTATTTGTGTATTTCAGCACTAGATAATTGGAAAGTGAAGTTTATAAAGGAATATCACAATCAGATCCAAAGTGAATCCATAGGAACAAAATCATACCTAATGAAAGGCACACGAGACTTCCAAACAGAAAACTGTCAAGAAGTTAAAGTCACCTGAATGGAGGAATATTTTAGTCCGGAGCTTGGAGGACAGCATTTCAGTGATGCCGTTATCCCTACATAGACACGCAGAGTGAATGCAGTCCCAGGCAGAATCCCAGCAGGCTTTCTTTACGTATTTAGGTGAGGAAATTGACGGGCCGGCTTCACCTTTGCTGTGAAAACGCTAAGGGCGAAGGAGAGTCAACCCCGTCCTGAAGATCAAAGTGGGAGCACGGTCACTGCCAAGTATCAGGACTCCTTATACAGTTACAGTTAAAAGACAGAGGTCTACACAGGTCAAGCATCCAGAAACGGCCCGCACTCGACCCGTATCGATGGCGATATCGCAGCCCAGGGGGAGGAGTGGCCGCAGCGAAGGCTGGGCGTGGCAGGGCCTAACTGGCCATGCCAGGGGGCAGCCATGGGTGTACAGAGTATGGCTTCTAGACCAGCGGGAGAGCACCCACCTTGGGATAAGGAAAGACTTCTGACACGAGACCCAAAAGCAGTCACCATCGCAGAGCAGACCGTGGGCTGGGATAGGTCAAAGCTTCGTAAATACACGCCTCGCAGAGACCGGACGGGACGGCCCCAGGGCGGAAGCTGATGTTTATAATACAGACCTCTAACACCTGGGCCCAGGAAGCCCAGGCTGTGGTGAGCCGTAATCGTGCCACTGCACCCCAGCCTGGGTGGCAGAGTGAGACCCCAGAAAAAAATAAAATAAAAAATAAAATAATTAAATAAAAGAGGTTACCCAAATAACTAATAAACCAGAAACGTGTGGTACCCAGTCACAGGCAAGTGCACATTAGAGCCAAAACGAAACACGGGGGTGCACCTCAACAAATGGCCAAAATGACCCTGGCAGACAGTATCAAGTGCTGACAAAGCTGCGGTGCATCTGGAAGTCACATTTCTGGTGGTATACAAAACGTTTGTCGCCATCTACATTGGATATGATGTGACTCAGAAGTTCCGGATAATGCCCAGCGGGAATGTGTGTGACATTCACTGAGACTTGTGTGAGGATGTTCACTTTTTGATAGTAAATATAGCCCAGAACTAGAAACAACCCAAATGTCCCTTAAGAGTAGAATTCATTAATATACTGTACTTCCTGGCCCGCATCCACAGTAAGCCAGCCACGAGAATGAACATCAGCGCGGGTGAATCTTACAACCTTGAAAGAAGCCAGACACATGAAAAAGCACAATTGCGTGTCTGGATCAAGTTCAGAAGCAGGCAGCGCTCCTCCAAGGTGCAGGAGTCATGACAGGGCCGCCTAGACGGCCGGATGACCCCGGGGTCTGGAGCGAGCAGCCACCTCTCCATGCCATAGGCTTCTGCCGCGTCTGCGTCACGGCTGGACATGCGTCCACTTTGCAAATGGTGCCCTCCGCGCAGGGAACGTGGTGCTGCCCGCAGGACCTCCGACGGGCCAGGTGACTGACCCCGCAGGGAGGGTGGGCCCGTGTGCTTGTGTTTCCGGAGGACGCAACTTTCTCCAGGGCTCCTCTCCCCTGTCCTGACGCTGACGTTTGAGAAGCACAGCCCCCGATGGCTTGGGCATCCCCTGCCCCTCCACCCCTCCCGGCCACGCCCTCGGGGTCCTGAGGCCCCGCCCAGCGGCTGTCCGTGGAGATCACTCCCCCGAGTCCCGCATAAAGCGAGCCCACCATGAGACGACTGGGCCAGGTGCTGGCCTGATGTGCTGCTGGGCGTCCACGGGCAGGGAATGGCAGGAGTGAGCACTGCCGGGCTCCACCACCAGGCCTCTGTGAGTAGCTCTCGCGTGTGGCGAGGCCTCTGTGCCTTTTCGTGTGTTTGGGCCAAAGGTGATCAGCGGCCTCTACCTCAGGCCGGAGGCCAGGGTGGCCCTCCTTGACCAACTGCTGCAAAGCCGAAGGCCAATGTGGGCCTCCAAGCGCCGTGTCTGTGCCCAGGGTGTGGGGGACACTCGGGGGTGGCTGTCAGCTTCTGAGCTATTCCCATCCCGACTCCCCCAGCACCACCATGTCAAGATGCCAGTCCAAGGCTGGTCCCTCTGGGAACCCCGAGGACTGTTTTTTGCTGGACCCGGGTGGCCACAGATGTAGGTGCAGGTTGGGGCCCGCAAGCCCTGGTCCTCTGCTTGTGGGAGCTGATCAGGCCCTGCCTCACGGGGACTGGAGGGCAGCCATGGGAATAACACGTGCCACTGGGCCCAGGCCCGGGAGCTCAGGGAGGCGCTGGGCCCTGCTCTCAGGACCAGAGCGGGCAACCGGAGAGGGGACGCTCAGGGACCTTGACGTCTGATGTCAGTTGCTCTTTTGGTCTGGTGTTTGCACCTTCTGAGTCAGCGTCCCGCAGTGTGGCAGGAAGGAGACGTGGGCGGACGTGGATGAGCGTCCCTGGACCCTAGGAGCAGGGGCGTGACTGGACCCTGACCTGTGGGCTCCGGGTCTGCCCCTGTCGGCGCCGTCCCTCGGTGCCTGAAGCCTGGAGGCCCCCGCCAGGCCCGGGCGTTCAGAGGCTGCCAGGGATTGGAGGTGAGGAAGGGGCTGCTTGAGCCCACGGTTTCCTGAAAAACCCGCTGGACATGACCCTGGGAGGCAGAGTGCACGGCGTCCAGGGCCCCGTCCGTGTGCTCAGCTGTGTGACTTTGGGCACGTGGCTTGACCTTTCGGTGCCCGGAGAGAGGACAGCCCAGCCTTCTCGTGGAAGAAGGAAGCTCCCCCCGTACGTTTGGTGAATCCAGTACTTTGATAATTCCTTCTGTTTCACCTGCAGTGTTGATGTTTTAGAAAAACGTTCTAGTTGTGGTGCCTGGTTTCTCGCTGAAAGCAGCTGACAGTCTGCGACCCCGGTGTATGAGGCATCACCAGGTGACGACAACCGAAGTGACTTTTACGTCACGGAGGTTGACGCTCAGGTTGCTTCAAAGTGGAGCCTCCCTGAAGGGCCTGCCTGGACCTGTGGGCCCCGTGTCTACACGAGGGTTCTCGCCCAGCAGTCAGGAGGGGGACCGGGACTCCCGGGTGTCCTCGGGGGCCTGGACCCCTCAGGCGGGAGTGGGACCCCAGCGCTCCCCGGTCTACACCAAGCTCTCGCCCAGCAGTCAGGAGGGGGACCGGGGCTCCCGGGTGTCCTCGGGGGCCCGGACCCCTCAGACGGGAGCGGGACCCCAGGGCTCCCCGGTCTACACCAAGCTCTCGCCCAGCAGTCAGGAGGGGGACCAGAGGTCTCCTGTGTGTACACAGTGCTCTGACCCCTCAGGCAGGGTAGACCTGGGGCTCCCGTGTGTACACAGGGGTTCTAACCCCCCGGGTGGGGGGAATGCAGGGGTCCCGTGTGTACACAGGGGCTCTGACAGCCTCTGCACACAGGCTGGTATTTGCCCAGAATCCTGCAGCTGTCACTGAAGCATGCGGCTCTAGGTGTGTGGGACCCCCCCGCCCCACGAGGATGGACTGCCGCCCAGCCCACCCCCAGGCTGTGTTGCGCCCCGTCGCTGTCCTCCAGTCTGCGGGTCCAAAGGGCCCGACACCACCACCAGGCTCTGGCCTGTCATCAGCTCCCAGCTGCACACTTAATATGCGTGCCGCATCATCCCGCTTCTCGTGTGAATGGGCCCTGCTCGCCTGGCTGTGCTCAGAGCCTGGGAAGTCAGCGATTCCAGTCGGCGCCTTCGGGCGGGCCGCCCGGGTGGCTTCTGCGCAGATTGGCTGGCGCAGCGGCTGCTGGCGCCCCGTGGTTGGCTCGGAGGTGGGACGCCCATGAGGCCGCCTTGCCGCTGCCCTGACTCAGGCTCCTGCTGTCAGCTCCAGTCGGGGCTCGTCATGACACACAGCTGAGTGCCATCCCTGTCACACGTGTGGCTGCTGCAGGGGCTCCTCCCCCACACGCGTGGCCATGCCAGCCAGAGCACGCCCTTAACGTGGGCGAACCCAGGCACCCAGGACGCCAGGACTGGCCGGACCTCCGGACCCTGAGTTGGCTCTGGAGGGCTTAGCTTCGTGGGCGCCGGCGGGCAGGGACGCGCTCTCCCCGCGGCGTGGGAGCGGCCTGGGCTGCAGAAGGGGGGCTCGGGCGGGTCTGTGAGTCCATGGGTCGGTACCAGGCGGAGATGTGAGAATCTCTGAAAATATCTGCCCTTCCTCAGCGAAGGGTGGGCCCTGGGACCGTGGGGACGGGTCTGCGCAGCCCGGGGACCCCTGGGGGTGCTCAACAGACGACGTGGGGAGGGCAGGGGCAGTCTCGCCTCCTCCGGCGCGTGGGGGCGGCCTCGCCCGCACACACTCACGCGTCTGTCCTCCTGCAGCTTACAGGATGCGGGCATCGGATTCATCCTGGTCATAGACCGGCGGCGGGACAGATGGACCTCCGTGAAGGC